GACACCGTTGGCAATTTGTACGCTAGTACAAAGTCGATACCGACGGAACAGCGGGCCTCACAACTGAGTCGCGAGTCGAAGTTGTTGCCGTTGCCTCCGCATCCGGTGTACATGAACTGTTCACATGCATCCGCGTTCTGATTGTACCACCAACGCAGGAACTGCTGTTGGCAGTGACCGCTGTCCCTCGGATGTAGACACACGTTGTACGGAAGGGCAGCCTCTGCAAGGGGCATGGTTACTCGCATAAGACTATTTCCGGCAGCCAATGCTACGACAAGCAAATCTACGGCAGACATATCGGCGTTGAATAATTAACGCATACGTGCCACAGTCAGCGTCCCTCGGTCTACGACAGCCGTTCAAATAGCAGCCACAACAAATGTTAGCATCAAGCACATAAACATTCAAAGTTAGACAACAGTCTCATTTTTTTCTTCAAAATAATTAAAAGGAAGTTAAGAATAATGAATGGTAGTTATTAAGTAAGGTTCTAGCTGGTGGATCTTTCATTCTTCCTAACAGAGCAGCTTAGCGGTCAATTTAGATTTAAAAATGAAGCTCATACCAATATCACAATCTGCGAGATTTGGTTTGCAGCGGTATCGTAGTTGCACATATAAACAGATGAGGAAATGAAAAATAAAGCAGACATTGTACACAACAGTAAAGCGCATGATGTATCTCAAGAATCCATCAAACAGCAGACATATGACTTAAGGGCTGTGTTTGTTGTGACGTCACATTAAACCATTCGCATAAAGTCCCTGCTTCGTGAGATAAGAGGCATTATTTGCCTCTCGACAGTTGACTAAACCATTTACCTCAGAAAAATCTACTTCCGCTTCCTTTATTCATGTTATATGTTGGTCGCCTGGTCAAAATCTACCTTATTTTGGCCTTATAAATGTAGTTCAAACATAATTATTAGACAAGCCCTTAAAGCGTTTTCTTAAGAATGTGAAAACTACAACAGAACTGGCACCTTGTATTCATTATCATATTAGCTTTCAAACGAGTCAAAAAAACTGCAGGCCTAACAGACGCTTTTGTCGGGCAACAGTCGTATCTCCAGCATTTTCTGACATGAGTACACCAGAAAACCTGGCCATTCCTACTGTTCGTACGTCAACAATTTACAAACAGTTTCTCAGCCTCAGCTGATGGCACCGAAGCACCATGGACGAATTCCGTGCTAAAGGGAACCAGCAGTTAAGAGAAAAAATTTCTTGTCCTCATCTTTCTGAAATTTCAGCCAGGTATGTTTGGTGTCAGAAGCCGACACTTATCAGTGCATCACCGTCAGCACAAGATGAGCAATGAAGCATATGAGAAGTTCGCGCACAACGACGCATGTGGTAAAAGGTATCGGATCGAGCGTACGGCAAAAGCTGCTTAAAGCCAATCGACGACTATTGCACGATTCGCTGAAGAAGTGGTCATGTGTCTTTCTAATGCAAGACCGGGATAATTTGAAAAAGAAATGATGATTGATGCAATTAACTTCGAACAGAAGTCACATGCATAAGCAATGCAAAACAGAATAATGACAATAAGAACATTAAAACTAGCAACACCAGGTTTCTCATGCTTTCGAACCGATTTAACATGTCACTAACTGAAAACGTTTTACTTCATAAGGCATTCGACCGGTTGTCTCGCCACTCATCACAAAGACATTCTAAACAAGTCGGAGTGAATTTACAGTTAGTCTGAAATGGCATCAAGATCCTCTGATAGCAATAGCCTTACTGAAAGATCGAAGAATCGTAAACTTCCACAAAATATACCATTTTCGCATTCTAGGCGAAATACCAAGAAAATAATCCGATGTACTAAGAGATCACCGAGTAACAACAATGGCATAGAATCCAGTCTGATGCCTCTCAGAATCACAAAAAGCCGTTGCGAACCGCTCTTTTACTGCCTGCAAAGAACTTGATATTACAGTCGTTCGATCTGCTGCTGCTTGTTCATTTGTGATGTTAGTTTCTAGCCCCATGCATCCACCTTAGTTCGCTGAAGCAATTTGAAATACACGTAGATTCATCGCCGCACGTGCTGCATTTTTCAAACAGGGACGGATAATCGAATACGCCGAGCGCGTCGTTTCCTCCGGGTCACCAGTGGTTAGGGAACAAAACTTATAAAAAATGACCATTTCCTTCTGCTTCTGTTGTTTCTTTCCCACAAATCACGTTGTTTGCCGTTAAAGCGTCAAAGGGGTGAGGGGTTAGGCAAAACACATAAAAAACTGCTTAAATGCCGATGAAGGAGATCAACGTTGCAT